TTGCAGTTAACTAGACTAATGCTAGTTTATTGAGAGTTTTTAGCATGAACAGCTGTTGAATTTTGTTGAAGGCCTTCTCTGCATCTATTGAGATAATCATATGGTTTTTGTCTTTGGTTCTGTTTATGTGATGGATTATGTTTATTGATTTGCATATGTTGAACCAGCCTTGCATCCTGGCGATGAAGCCAACTCGATCGTGGCAGATAGGCTTTTTGATGTGCTGCTGGATTCGGTTTGCCAGTATTTTATTGAGGATTTTTGCATCAATGAAACCAGGCCCTTATTTTTATAAATTATCAAGTTTTAGGTATTCTGTTATAAGCAACAGAAAACAAATTAATTCACCACCCCCACCACATGAGAGTCACCACTCTCCCAGTTAGCTTTCTTGCCCCTGATTTCTAATATAGATTTCTCACACTTTCAGAACTTAGCATTAGAGACAGCATGTAACTAACATTAAGAGAAAAAAGAAAATATAAAAATAAGATGCACACTGCAAAAATACTGGTTCATGAGGAAGCTAATGTCTCCCAAAATATAAAGTAAAAGAAGAAAGTGCAATACTACAATGAAAGCGTTGTATGATTTTAAAATATGATTAATGTCTTTAATGTTATACCATCCTTACATTTTAAAAGACAGAAAGCTTCTGGCAACCTCAACATCGTGAGAATCCATTTTACTAGGCTTTTAGCATTACAAAGCACAATTTCAAATACTTTGGTCCTAGCATGAACTGCTCTCCTCTTGCAGTTAACTAGACTAATGCCAGTTTTAAAGTGAGCTTTATAAGCCTATTTAAAGAGTAATAACATGTTGCCTTTCTTCCACGAGATTTTCTCCCTGATGAAAGTTCCAGTATGTCCCCAGAGTAAATAACTCAGGCTCCACTTACCTCACAGTGTACAAAACAGGCCTGGGCTTTTCATGGTGAACATAAAGACAAGGCAAGAGAAGACCCCACCCTGCTTTGGGGCTGTCCATGCTCCTAAGCATGCACAGAGGGAGACAGAGTTAGGACCTCCTCCAGTGGAAGCAGGGAGGGTGGTGGTGCAGGAAGGATGTGCTGGGCCCCCAGGAGGTCATACTGGCCTCATTTTCCCTTTTGCCCCTCTTCTACTCACGCTTCCACATTAAACAGGCTTTCTCCTTATAGGTTATACATCTCTGCTGTATATCCCCCTTTACAGTCCTATGATAAACTTTTATATATTTTCTATTTGGGGTTAAAGGCAAAACAAGTTGGCATGTTACCTATTTGCCTATGATGTCCATGGTGAATGTTTTGGGCTGGGGGGATTAGAATCGAGAGGGGACCTCCTATGGATTCTGATTACTGTGTTTACACTCCTGGTCCTTGGCCACTTATTTTTTACCATCACCCCCATCACTCCCACAACCTCAGATCAGAATTTTCCACCTTGGATTTCAAGAGCACAGATTCTTTCTTTTTTATTTATTTGTTTGTTTGTTTGTTTGTTTGTTTGTATGAGATAGGCCTCACTATTTGAATTCCTGGGCTCAAGCAATTCTCCCACCTCAGATTCCCCAGGTAGCTGGGACTCCAGGTGCACACCACCTCACCAAGCCAGGAACACAAATTCTAGGGGTTTTTTTGTTTGTTTGTTTCTGTTTTTGAGACAGGCTCTCAGTCTATTGCCCAGGCGGGAATGCAGGGGCATGATCTTGGCTCATTGCAGCCTTACTCTTCTGGACTCAAGCGATCCTCCCACCCCAGCCTGCCAAGTAGCTGGAACTAGAAGCACGTGCCACCACTCCCAGCTCATTTTTGTATTATATTTTTTGTAGAGATGATGGGGTTTCTCCAGGCTGCCCAGGCTGGTCTCTTAACTCCTGAGCTCAAACAATAGGCTGGCCTCAGCTGCCCAAAGTGCTGGGATTACAGGCGTGTGTGACCAATCCTGGCCCTCTAAGGATTTTGTTTTTTTTAGGGCCATGAGAACAAAGGTTTTCATGATGAAAAATGCTCTGCAGATGCTGCCTACTAAATCCCCCTGCAGAGGTTCACAACGTACATCTGTGAACTGAAGGCTTTACATGCAAATGACTTGAAAAGAAAGCCTGTTTAACACTACTTTCATGGATAAATCAACAGGCATTTGCCCCAAAGAAGCCTTCTGTGCTTAGGTACACATTATATTCTGGTCCAACCACTCACTCCTCCACATCAGTTAGTCTGTCCTAGGTGCAGGCTCTCCTAAGGAGTGGTTGTGCTTTGATTTCCTCCTTGCCTTCTGTACTTCTGCAGCTCACAGATATAGAGGATAACCAATAAAATCTGGGCAGCAAACAATCACACATCTGGGTTTTATGCTACACACCTATGCTGTCCAATACCATAGTCACATGCCACATGTAGCTATTTCTATTTCTATGAATTAAAACTATTTAATTTTAAATAAAATTTAAAATTCAGTTTTTCAGTGGCACCAGCCACATTTCAAGTGCTCAAGTGAACATGCGGCTGTGGCTACCACTCTGGTCAGAGCAGATACAAACATTTCCATCTTCACAGAAATTTCTGGAGAATAACGCCACAGTAAACCTTGTCAATCATAGAAGGAGCTCTTCTCTTAGCCTTCTCATCTTGTCCATATTCCCCCATGAGACCGTGAGATCGCTGAAAGCAAGGATGAGGGTTTCTCTTCTCTGAACCCCAGCCCCTAGTCCAGGGCCCTACAGGAAAGGCCACTCACAAAAATCTGCCAGATGATATGAATGTTTCCTCTTTGCTCCCAAAGCATGTACCTATGTTTGTCACAGTGCTTTAGCATACTTTTCGTTCAGAAAAAAAAAAAAAAACTTTATTAGTTTCTATTTATTTAAAATGTAATACAGAATACTGAAAGAGGATTTAAAAATTAACAAGTAATAATCCCACCTACAGAATGCCACTCAACATTTTGGAGTATTTAGATTCATTTATTTACAAACAGATTTTTGTTGTTGTTTATTGAGGCATATTTTGCATACAGTAAAATTCACCACTTTAAGGTGATGGGTGTATGATGTATGATGAATGTAACAACCACCACAATCAAGATCCAGAATATTTCCATCACCCTCAGAAATCCCTTCCTCACCTTTGTAATTAAACGGTTCTCCCCAACTGCTCTCTAGCAATCACTAATCCAGTTTCTGTTCTTAGGGTTTCAACTTTTCAAGAATGTCATGTACATGGAATTATACAGGAAGTAGCTTTTTTAGTCTGGCTTCTTTCATTTAGCGTGATGCTTGAGATTCATCCATGTTTCCCTTTTTATTGCTGAGGTATAATCTATTATATGCATACACCACAATCTGTTTATCCATTCTACAGCTGATGAACTTTGGGGTTGTTTCTAACTTTCGGCAATCATGATAGAGTTGTTATAAACATTTGCACGTAGGGTTTTGTGTGTACATAGTTTTTGTTACTCTTGGAAAAATTCCTAGCAATTGGATTGTTAGTCATATATACTAAGTATATGTTGAATTTTATAAGAAACTGTCAAACTGACTTCCAAAGCACTTTTGCTCTTTTGCATTTCCCCAGCAATGTATAAGAGTTTCAGTTGCTCTGTGTCTTCACAGGATTTTGTATTTTCCTTTTTTTTTTTTAGCTTGAGCCATCCTAATTCATATATAGTGGTATTTTATTGTGGCTTTAATTTGCATTTCCCTATGATTAATGATGTTGAGCATCTTTTTATGTGCTTATGTGTTGTCAATATCCTTACTTTGTAAAGTTTTGTTTGAATGCCCTTTTTTTGTTTTTGAGACGGAGTTTTGCTCTTGTTGCCCAGGCTGGAGGGCCATGGTGTCATCTCGGCTCACCACAACCTCTGCCTCCCAGGTTCAAGTGATTCTCCTGCCTCAGTCTCCTGAGTAGCTGGAATTACAGGCATGTGCCACCACGCCTGGCTAATTTTGTATTTTTAGTAGAGAAGGGGTTTCTCCATGTTGGTCAGGCTAGTCTTGAACTCCCGACCTCAGGTGATCCTCCCGCTTCAGCCTCCCAAAGTGCTGCGATTACAGGCCTGATCCACCGCACCTGGCCTCTTTTGCCCTTTTTTAATTGGGTTGTCTGCTTTCTTATTATTGAGCTGTAAGAATTCTTTATATATTCTAAATGTCAGTACTTCATCAGAAATGTATTTTACAGATATTTTTTCCCAGTTTGTAGTTTGTTTTTTGAAGAGCAGACAACTGCTCTTCAAGTTGTTTTTTAACTGTACTGAAGAACAAAGAAACATTTATAAGTATCTGCCATATGCTAAACTTTTATTGGCACTGGAATTCCAGTAATATCTAAGCTTCAAGTTGTACTTTTCCTTTTTAACAAAATGGCATTGATTGGTTTCAGGTCTACTTTTTCACTATCTTATTGTTAATATTTCTCCATCATTAAATATTATTTGAAACACAATTTGTAAGGTGTACTTTCACAGCAAGACCTTGACTCATCTTAACTATCCCTCTGTATTTGGAGATGTTTATGTTAATTCCCATCAATATTTCAAAAAAAAAAAAAGAAGCATGTGATTACCATCCTTGTTCAGAAATCTCTGTATACATTTCCAATTATTTTCTTAGTATAAATGCTTATAATCGCAAAAACTGGGACAAAGGCAAGCACTTTGTTCTCTACCTGTCTCTTTAGAAAGACTACAGGTGTCCTGAAGCAAAGAGCTTGTCTTGCCCTCCTTGTCACGCCAGAATATGACAAAAGCCTGTTACATTGTAGGTGCACTCTACATACTCGAGGGGTCAATAGTTGGAAAGAAAAAGAATTCCACTGAATTCCATCCTCTCCCTTTCCTCCTGTGAAAGGAAATAAGACTATCCTGTCTTCTGTAGACGTCTACTTTGCCTTCCCAGATGAAGGGAAGAAGAAAGTCTTCTAAGAGAAAATTTGCCAAGGAGATGCAGGTTTCCCAGAGAGCTGGATGAGAAGCCCTGTTGCTGCTCAGCAATGCCCTTAAGGGGCCCCACCCCTGCCTGTATAAAGCTGGGTGCGGTGTTGGGGCAGCCACAGCTGGCATTCGGCCTCCAGAGCATCAGCACTGGCACTGGCACTGGCACGCGCTATGGCAAATGAAGTGCAAGACTTGCTGTCCCCCCGGAAAGGGGGTCATCCTCCCGCAGGTAGGCCACCACCTGCCCTCAGTCCTGCAGGCTATTGCTGGCTCCCCTCTTCTGGCAATGCCTTCCACGGAGCACCCCAACAGACCAAAGGTTCTCTGCGTACCCGGTATTACTTTAACTCCACGCTGCCTGACTTCCTCCTATCTCTTTGACCCTTCTTAGCTTGTGTGTGAAGCCACCCGGGAATTTGTCAGACACCCAGTGAGTTAAAGCCTAATTACCTATGGCAACGTATGGATCTGTTGCTTGTGGAAAGGCATAGGCAGAGAGGTTGTACCTTTTTCCTCCCTGGCTGTAGGTTAGCAGTGACACGTCCACAAAAAGAAGATGATTTGCTACCATGGAAACCTTTCTCCTTAGATTCCGGCCATAAGACTCAGTCTCCCCAAGATGCCTGTACATCCTCTGACTTCCTACCCATGCAGGCCAGCTTCCACACAGAGGACCACAGTCACATTTCTTTCCCCCTCCTCAGGCTTTGGGGCTGGACAGTGTTATCAGGGATGTAGTTTACCTGTTAAGGAGCTGAGAAGTACTTTTTGATAAAGACACAGGGCTTGAGGGGGCTGACTGGAAAAGGTACCTGTCAATGTGTTTGCAAAGCATCCACAACTTTTTTTTTTAAATTTACGCTATCTATACTGACTCTCTGGAATATGGAAATTAGTTTTATCGTACTTAACCATATGTTCTTATAGATTGGCTGAGATGTACAGGCCTATTTTCATCAGTTTTTTATTCTTCCAACTGTCTTCCTTCTTTTTTCCTTAAGAAAGTCCTCAAAAGCTTGCCTGCTTTGTTCTTGCCTTTCTCCATTTACAAAACATATTTATTATCTAATTCTCTGGCACCTCTAGGCCAAGGTGACTTCAATAATCTTTGCTGCAGAGGGTAATGGCAGGTATCGTCTTCACAGAGAGTCAAAATGTAACATTGTTTCAGTGGCTCTCTGGTCAGTAGCCTAGCCAAAAAGCGTCCAGATTTTTATTACTCATTCTGAGTTTCCACTTCTGCACATCTTGCTCTGATCTCCTCTGGCAGATTACTGACATTTTTTATTTGCAATCAAATTTAGCAATCTTTAACATTACCTGTATTTAAAGTTAATGATGCTAGCCAATAGTCAGGATATGTATATATATATATATGCAAATCATTGGAAGAGACGTTCCTTACACAGACAAACACAAAAGAAAAAAAAGAACTTCCATTCTCTTCATGTCATTTCCACTCCAATCCTTCATAAAATGGCTAAGCCAAAACCTGTTTTGCTAAACTATATTTATGCACAAAGAACACAGAGATAAACTTAACCAAATGAAAGTTTGAATGAAACCACTGGGAACTTTCTGTCCCCTCCACTAATGATTGCTAATTACTCTGTGTACATAGCACACCATGACTCCATCAAGCATGTCACAATGCCTCTGGCATGACAATTAATTATTATGAACTGTGACACTACAGATAAGAGGTTTTGGATAATTAGAATGGAGATGAAGGCAGACTTTTGCCTCCCCACTGAGCACGAGGGAACAAAGAAGCATCATCCTTCAGCCTGTCTTGGTACTTATTTTAAGTCTGAATCTGTTTGTGGTGGTGCAAAATTTTATTTATGGAACAAAAACAATTAAGTGCCAAAATTCTATTAATTTTTCACTTGATTTTTATAAGCAAAATACAGGTCCCTGCAAGTGGAAAGATGATGTGATTTGGTGGGGAGGGTGGGACACACATAGCCTTTGGAATCAGACAGACCTGGCTTCAAACGTCGATTTCATTCCACATCTCTGAGACTCAGTTTCCTCATCTCTGAAACAGGATACAATAAATAACATCTATTTAGTAAGTTTGTTGTAATGATTAAGGGGAATCATCTTTGAAAAGTACCTGGCACCTGAATGTTAGCCCCCTTAAAATGCAGGCCTGGTAGAACACATCACTATCAAAAGAAATTATCGCCCCCCAACTCCCAAATTCAAGACATCCTGATGTTGGAGGGGCATCAGACACTACTGCAGTAATCAGAACAGAAGAAAACTGCAATGGAAAAAATATGTGCCTACCCCATCACAGTTAAAAATGAAATCACTTAGCTGGGTGTGGTGGCTCACTCCTGTAATGCCAGCACTTTCAGAGGCTGAGGTGGATGGATCACCTGAGGTCAGGAGTTCAAGACCAGCCTGGCCAATATGATGAAACCCCATCTCTACTAAAAATTCAAAAAATTAGCCGGTGTGGTGGAACATGCCTATAATCCCAGCCACTCAGGATGCTGAGGCAGGAGAATCACTTGAATCCAGGAGGCAGAGGTTGCAGTGAGCTGAGATCATGCCTAGGCAACAGAGCTAGACTCAGTCAAAAAAAAAAAAAAAAAAGAAATAAATAAGTAAATAAATCACTCAGAGGTCAGCCAGCTACAACTCTTTCTCACCTACATATGGAGTGGGTAGTGGTTTCATTTAATGCATATTAATATAATATATTGCACCTCTGTTAGCCCTGGTTATACATTTATGCTGTAAAATAAGACTACATAAAACACAAGGTGGGCTGGACTACGGTAAGCATAGCTTGGAATTTTCTGCTTTCTTGATTTGTCTCATCTCACTTTCAGAAGAACCCCATTATATGAACAGCAGCCCCAAAAATGTGTGAGTAGAAAGTGATCCCAGGAAGCCAGATATATGATGAATAGAAAGAAGAGCAGTAGTTCATGACTTTTTCTCTATTTCCTGCATTTTTTAATTGGGTCTAAGCCAAATGAATCTGAGCCATTGAAGAGGTGACCACTGAATCCCTAAAGAGAATATGTTTTATGACTCATTAAAGAGAGAGGGAAGTTGGAGGGGGGAATATGCCCAATTATAAAACTAATGCAGAAAATGGGGACAACCACAAACTGCATATGGACCAGGGTCGTTTGAAAACCCTCACACACTCCAAAGGCTTGAGTCTCTCAAGTCAACTTGTGGGGATTGGAACGGGCCAGAGCCATGAAGTTAGAAGAGAAAGGCTGTGAGATTCACCTCCTGCTGCCCCAGGGGATAGGGATCTGAGGACTGCAAGAATAGCTGCCATTCAATGCTGACTGCACCTGGCACAGCAAAGAGACTTCCAGATGTGGCAACAGCTCTGCAGAGAAGTGGTATTTCACAGAGGAGCAAACGGAGACTCAGTGAGATTGAGGGACTTGCCAAAAGCCACACAGCTAGTGGGAAGTGGAGCTGGAATTGGAAAATGCAGGGACCCCATGCCAAAGCCCTCTTGCTTGAAAGCCTTTTCTGTTTGCTCCACAACCTTCTCTTAATGAGGGTTTTGGGGGTCTTGATTGGCAGGCTAAAATTTGCTGACAAATTGTCCATGCAAAGTAAGCATTTTGCAAACATGTAAACTTTTCATTTCTTCAAATAGATGTTCTCAGTCACAAGGCACAGTTTGCACAAACCTTTGTGCCTTTCAGCTTTTTCACACACATTGTCCACGGATTTGTAAAGGAAAAAGTCTAATTTTTTTTTTTTTGCAGGCTTATGTTTATCTTCACTAGTGTCTACCAAAAACTGTGGAAAAGATTGGAAAATCTTAACTAGAAAAGTATTAGAATTCTAAACTAAACAGTGTATTTATAAAAATTTATAAACCACAAAATCAGTCACAAGAGTATAATTCTCATGCAGAGACGGGAAAGCAAAACTTCGTTTTTCCCCACATAAATTTAGGTTTTCTAGTGAAGCTATCTGAAAGAGCATCTCTCTTTTTAACATTGTCTGTCTCTAGTTTGTCTTCATTATTGAAAGGACTGAAAGTCTTAACTTACAAAATTGTACTCAAAATTCTGTTAAAATGTTAAATCAGTTCATATTTTACTTTGCCTAATTCCAGTTGATCTTTCTGCAAACACTCAAAAGGCAAGATAGCCCCAAACATGAAGTTATGTCAAGGACTACAAACTTTAATCGATTGATTTAGACACAGTGAAACCTTGAAAAGTTCTCTTGAGTCAGAGGTATCTGGTATAAGCAAAATGAGCAAGAACCCGATTGTGTTGGGTTGTAAATGATGGCTTGTCTACACCCCAGGCGATCATTGTGAATGGTGTTCCCAGAAGAGCTTTTAAGATGACCCTCCCACAAACTAACTCCATCTGGTTCAATCACCCCAGTTCAGTGAGAGCCCAAATCTATATATGTGCATCCATCTGTAGTCTAGGGGTATTCTCTTCTGCTTCTTTCTACTGTACAAGGATGACCAAGTAAGACTAGCTGCCAGAACAAGTTTGGTACAAGAACTGTGTTCTGGAAATCCAGTGTGTGGCCCCCCTGTGATTCCTAAATTGCTGAGTTAGAGCCCACTGACCTATGACGGAGAGAACTTAAAGACTGCTGGATGGAAGGAGGAATCTTATGGAGATGATTTTTTTCTTCTTCTTCCTAAAATGTTTGTCTTATTGTGCCTAAGAATGAAGAACTCCCACGTTTATAATCTTTAAAATTTTCTTTTGCGATTTCTTTGTTAAGTGCCTTATGTTCTTTCCAAAAGGAAAGGAGTGATGGATTTTTTTTGGAGGTAGATGACAAGAGTTGAAATTATAATGACTTTATAATAAACATAATCTAGTTCAACTTCCACTGAATTCCCCAAAATTCTCCTAAGGTGTTCATGACAAGATAACTTCTTTCCTTCACTTTAATACCTTGAGGTGTAAGAACTCATTATCATATTAGGCAATCTATTTCACATTGATTACACAAGCTGTTATAATAGCCAGATTCTGTCTTTCTGGAACTCTTAGGCTTTGGTCTTCATTCTCACCTCTGGAACCATGTAAAATAAATATAAATAATAATTCATAATTAGTAAGTGCCTACCATGCACCAGCTTCTTATGTCACCTCTGTTTTCTAAAACAACCTGTCAGCAATAGTCAGTATTGTTCCCTGTTGAAGGACATGGAGAATGAGTCTGAGAGGCATTTTAAGTGACTTGCTCACAGTCATAGAGCTTAGGAGGAATACATTTGTCCAAACCTACGTAACATTTCCCCACGAGTAAACTGCTTCTCTGACTTCATGACAGCCCTTCAGCTCTTTGAAGATGGCGCCCTAAGCTCTCTTGAGTCTTTGCTTCTTCAGGAGTTATCTTACCAGATTCCCTAGTTCCTCATGTGGCATGGAACTTCCACATGACTTCACTCTGGTCATTCACCTCTGAAGATTCTCAGATTGTCAATGTCCTTTGAAATGAGTGGTATGACACTCAACATTCCAGAGGTCTTTTCTTTTTTTTTTTTTGAGATAAAGTCTTGCTCTGTTACCCACACTGGAATGAAGTGGCATGATCTTGGCTCACTGCAACTTCCACCTCCCAGGTTCAAGCAATTCTCCTGTCTCAGCATCCCTAGTAGTAACTGGGACTACAGGCTACCACCACCATGCCAGGATAATTTTGTATTTTTAGTAGAGACAGAGTTTCGCCATATTGGTCAGACTGGTCTCAAACTCCTGACCTCAGGTGATGCCTGGGCCTTTCAAAGTGCTGGAATTACAGGCATGAGCCACTGCACCTGGCCAGGTCTTCTCGTTTTAACTACAACAATTTTGCTTCTATAGTTGGCGATAATAATTAGTCAAGGTAGAAGAAACTGTGTAGAAATAATAGCATCAGGGAAAGTGAAAGAAACACTAACAAGAAAATAATCACAGCACACCATGTATGAAAGGCACTTGTCATAAGGAGAATGAAAACTACTGGGGAGGTGTATCAAAGGCCCAAGCCCCAGAGCTCTTACTTGATTCTTCTTAGCGTTAAACAACAGTGCTATGAGCAGACAGACACCATCTCCCATACAGAGGCACACACTCCTCAAAAATTCTTTTGAAAAAAGTCCATCCCTTGATTTATTTCACCTGTATTCTGCAGTTATTCAGAAATGTTTCCATATAATTTCATTTTTGTTGCTGATTACTTTGTGTGCTGTGTGTATAAAGAATTTATATATATAAAGAATGTATGTATATATATATATAAACATACAATTTAAAGCAAGATAATGTATAAAGATAGCATTTTCTGAGGCTTATATATATATAAATCAATATTTTTTTAACTTGGCAATTCAAATGACCAAATGGAGTTTATTCCATGAATGCAAGAATGGTTAAATGGTAAAACATCAGATTTCCTTAGTGATACAAAACCCATACAAGATTAACAAGGTCACATAAAAACAGCAAATTTCTGACTGGCTAAAACATCATTAATAAAGTCAAAAAGCAGTAACTGGTACAACACAGTATTTTATATTTGCAATGTATCTCATGAAAAAAAAGAGCTCCTATAAGTCAGTAAGAAAAAGATAGGGAAAAGACTAGTAATCCAATTGAAAAGGACAAAAGAGTTGAACAGCTTACAGAAAATGCAAATGGCTTCTAAAACATAGAACCAAGCCCAACCTTTAATAAAAAATGAGAAATGCAAATTAAAACAGTGAGATACCTTTATTTTTTAACTTACTGGTTGACAAAACCAAATGCTTTGTAGCTCGAATTGTTAACAGGGGTATGGAGGAACAATCACTGTCATCGTGGCTGGAGAGACTATAAACTGGTCCAACATCCTCGAAGGGCAATTTGGCAAGATTTAACAAAATTCCAGACACGCATACTCTTAAGAACTAACAAGATCACTTTTAGGAATTTGCCCCATAGGTGTGCTTGTATTTGTGCAAAATTATGTATCTAAAACTTTTAGCAGAGCAACAGCCCAAAAGAGCCAGAGTGACACCATTTTAAAATCACCTCCATCTTAAAATGAGCAAGTCACAGCCCCACGGTGCTAAGATGTTTACAGCCGATGAAGCAGCTTGGTAATGCCTGCAAGAACAAACTCTTACAACAGAAAGTCCAGATGTGCCAATACCCATAACGATAATGCTTTCAAAATAATAAGAGTTATGCTTTGATGTACTCACACACTAAAATGTCAAGGGTGGTTTTCTTTAAATCAGTAGAAATAAATCTTGTCATGCTGTCTGCTCACCTTCATGTAGTCACAGAGTCTACAAAGACAAGACCCCTATATAAGAAAAACTGAAAAACTGTTTGTGCACTCGATTTCTGAGGACACCCTACTCTGTAATGGAGTAGTTTCTAATAAACTTCCTTATTTCACTGAGTTCTGTGACTCACCTTGAATTTCTTCCTGTGTAAGATCCAAGAACCCTTTCTTGGAGTCTGGATCAAGACACCTGTTTCCGGTAACGAAAGGATATTTATTGCAGCATTGTTTGTGATAGCAGTAGATTAAAAACACATGCAATGTCCAACATTAGGGAACTGGTTAAGTAAACACAGGATGTTCATATAATAAAATGTTAAAGCAGATGTTAAAAAAACAAAAAACAAAAAAAGAACCACGGCCAGGCATGGTGGCTCACACCTGTAATCCTAGAACTTTGGGAGGCCAAAGCAAGCTGGTCACCTGAGGTCAGGAGCTCAAGACCAGCCTGACCAACATGGAGAAACTTCGTCTCTACTAAAAATACAAAATTAGCCGGACGTGGTGGTGCATGCTTGTAATCCCAGCTACTTGGGAGGCTGAGGCAGGAGAATCGCTTGAACCAGGGAGGCAGAGTTTGCAGTGAGCCAAGATCACGCCATTGCACTCTAGCCTGGGCAACAAGAGTGAAACTCTGTATCAAAAAAACACACACACACACAACACACACAACACACACACACACACACACAAATGATATATATATAGATGTAGATGTAAATGTAGATATGGAATTTTCTCTAAAATATGTGATTACATGAAGAAAATAAACAAGATGTAGAGCAATGTGTACCTCAGGCCGATACTTTTTTTTTGCATTTTTTTTTGTTGTTGTTTAATAAGCGTATTTTATTTTAATAAATAATCCAGTAGGAAATGGAGAATTCACTGCCCTTTCTTAGAAGGCTATGTAAATAGCTATCTGTCAAATTTATATATGCCGCTCACCAGCATTCCCTTATTGGAAACATCAGTATTTCCACATCACATCACAGTTCCTAAAAGGACTTTAAAGTCTCAAAATTCTGTGTGTCCTTTGGCTTGCTTCTCTCTTGATTCCACCCAGGCTTTATTAATGGTTCGCTTCATATCATCATCTCCATCTTCATAAATTTTCTTTAGAACATTCATCAGTCCCTCACTAGGATCTGTTTCAGAGTCATAGGAGGGCTTCTGTTTTTCCTTCTTTCTTTCTTTATTTTTTTAATTGCATTTTAGGTTTGGGGGTACATGTGCAGAACATGCAAGATAATTGCATAGGTACACACGTGGCAGTGTGATTTGCTGTCTTCCTCCCCTTCACCCACATCTGGCATTTCTCCCCATGCTATTCCTCCCCAGCTCCCCCCACCGGCTGTCCCTCCCCTATTCCCCCCAATAGACCCCAGTGTGTAGTGCTCCCCTCCCTGTGTCCATGTGTTCTCATTGTTCATCACCCACCTATGAGTGAGAACATGCAGTATTTCATTTTCTGTTCTTGTGTCAGTTTGCTGAGAATGATGTGCTCCAGATTCATCCATGTCCCTACAAAGGACACGAACTCATTGTTTTTGATTGCTGCATAATATTCCATAGTGTATATGTGCCACATTTTCCCAGTCCAGTCTATCATCGATGGGCATTTGGGTTGGTTCCAGGTCTTTGCAGTCTTTTTTCAACCTGAGTCAGGTAATCCCACCTTCTGTTTCCCACTTTAAAATTCATAAAAAGGTCTGCAGTCTCCCTCCTACCATTGTTTCCAACTTCCTAGATTATCTCCCAAGATACTGCTAATGTTATAAGCTTCCTGTGTCTTCGTCCACAGTTATTCGTTATTCTGCACATACACTTAGGTAAACCAATCTAGGAAGCTGAAAAACAATGGTAGGAGGGAGACGGCAGACCTTCTTAGGCCTTGTGAATTTTGTGCCTTATGCAGGTAACATAACCAAGACGATAAATTAAGTACTAATTTTAAAGAACAGAGATGAAGTCAGTTCACAAGGGCACGGAGAATTAAAATAGGTTTTCTTTGTTTTTCACTTTATTGGACCACAGTTTTAGAAAATTGCCAATCTGGCATTTTCATAAAAAGAATTAACAGGCTCAAACAAATCAATGTCCATTTAGCTTTTTCTCATTTGAGCTTGTCAGATTTTAAATGTGCAAATTTCCTGGGAACAGAAAAAAAGTATTTGCTTTGACTTGCTATCTGAAATGGATTGTTCCTTTTCGAAAGTTGATTTCATCTGACATTGTTAAACACTTGAATTGCTGTTAGGTCATCTGTAGCCTAATTAACACTAATTGATCTCTTGAATGGCAGGATTATTAATGCAGTTTAATTACTCATTAGAACATCTGAGCTTGGCCAACACCCGAGTTTTGGGGTCTGGTGAGAAGGTGGTATCTGGTAGAATCAGAACCACCGCTGTTGAATTAAATGCCTTTTATCACTGTGTGCCCTGTCTTTTGGCTCATCTCTCAGAATCTGGCTTTTGAAAGCTTTGGTTGGAAAAAAAAAATGCAAGCCACGCAGAACTTTAATCTGGTGGGAAAACAGAGGGTCATATTGTAATTGTCAGTTGCTATTGTGAAGAATGTAATTGGTTTGATAATAAGAAAAAATGTTTTTCAGTGAAATGCCTAAGGGAGTATGTTGTTATTCTCCTCCCTAAATCTAAGGTGTAACCTTCTGCTTTATCAGCCTCGGTTCCACTTCTCTGAGTATAAACAAGTAGCTGTCAGCCCTTCCTCCACCCACACTTGATTAAGATATATATATACACACACACATATTGTTTTATTGTGTTGTTTTATGAAAGTTTAGATCTTTAAAAAATAAGTTCAAAAATTATTTTCAAATCTAAAGTCATACCTTTAATAACAAAGCAAACCTTCTCTCACTGTTCTAACTTTCATGCTGGTTTTTATCTGTTTGTAGTAAAAGCTGGAGGAATGAGAATTTCCAAAAAACATGAAATTGGCATCTTGGAGAGACATACCAAAAAAACAGGATTCGAGAAAACAAGGTAGGGACTCTTAATTTTTCTCCATCACCTCAAGGAGTTTTGAATAACTCTGCTTCCAGAAGTTATTTTAGGACAAACCAAGGCTCCCTATGCCTCAACTAGAGAAGGGGGTGGAGGGTGGGGGGGTGTGATCTGTGAGGACCTGAAGTGAGGGGTAGAGAAAGGTAGGTGCCTACCCCCTGGAGGGTTCTCTCTGAGAGGGCTCCCATAATGACCCCCAGCCATTCTTCTCCTCTCTGCGCCCAGCCCAGCGAGCGGCTTTGCATTTAAAAGGCATGGTCCTAAATGTCCTAAACCTGACCCCCATCCTTTTAGACTGTTTTCAGATCAGCCTTTAAAATATTGTCCCTAGGCTGGTCCTGTTTTCATAATATGCTTTCTGCTGAAGCAAATGTCCTGGATTAAAAAGAAATGTCTTTTCTGTTTTAAATCCATCACTGAATTTAGAAAGTAACGGCCACTATATTTGGCATAGCCAGAAGGCATATAGGCACCGAGCAGCCTTCCCCTGCTCCCTCCGCCATTACCTTGACGCCTGCGCCATCTCAGAACTCAGCACAGAGCTGTGGTCTGGATCAGGTACGCAAATGGCCCAACCACTCAGCCTTGGGTAAGAAAAACCAGTGCATTTCAAAAAGCAAGAAACATGCAGAACTGGTTCTTTCTGAAGCATGCTTCAGAGACTATTAATTTTGAAATGATTTCCACAGATCAATTGATGAGTAATTCAAAAGAAACTGAGTAGAGGATGCTCCAGGCACCTCCTTAAGAGTTAAACCATCTCAGAGAATGGAAATAGACTATTGCACTTCTCTGACTCTTTTCTATAAAATTATTTTTAAATCACTTTAAATATTTTTTCCCAATTTCTGGGAAGAAATGTTTTGCGGATTTGCCTCCCTCCACTTTAGAATGAAATACGGATTTGCCCCATTGGCAGCAAGTCATTTGTTATTTATGATATCAGAAACTAACCATCCCATAACAAAAGGGAAGCTGTATGTCCTCAAGAGTGGAGGTCACACATTATTTATCTTCTGACCCAGCATCTAGGACAATTCCTAGGACAGTGAATGCATTCTGTAAGTGATATCAGACTGCAATTGAATTGCAAGCTGATTAAATTTGAGACCTATTCTGTATCTAAAACCTGACTCAAGCATGCACCCTGCTTATTGTGATACTGGTTAACCTGCCTGAGCCAGGGGCTCAGGAACTAAAGTGTCTTGTCTTGGAAATTACTTACTAGCAGGCAGCCAATGGACAGGCATTCATTTCTCTGCATCTCAGAAAAATGGGACTTACTAGTAAGTCTAACATCCTCTGAACAATGCAGGCAGCGGAGTTAGCTAGAGAGTAATAACGTGATGATTAGAACCATCTTTAAAAAGTCAATTGTTTATCATGAGAACAGCATGGGAAAAATTTTAAAAAAGAAAGGAAAAGAAACTCAGTTGTTTTCTAATAGTGGTTAAATGACAGGGATTGCACTATTATAGAACTTAAACAGCAAAGGAGAGCTCTTGCCCTAAGTCCCAGAGACAGAAACAGGTTATGTGGAGCTTGAAACATACAGACTTTCAGGGCCATTTTAAAGAAAAATAAACAAAAATGACCAATATGAAATGGATAGGGCCCCTCCCAGGGCCTTGAAAGGAACCATTGTAGTGGGAGACCCTAGGCTTAAGTATCATTAACTCCACATATATATCCCTCTTCTATTTACATCTCTTACCAGGGCATGAGAGCACAGGTTAGGAAATGTTTACATGGACAAACATTCCTTTTTATGTCATCTTAGAGAATAGCTTTTAAAAAATATGCCCTAGACCAGAATTTCCCAAACATCATCAATCCATGTCTACTTCCTAATAGCTTTTACAAACCAACACAAAGCATCCAGAAAAAATATATATATGCGAAGTGTGGAGTTTCTTCAAGACATTGTACTGTAGAATTGGCCCTGATTGAAACTCTCCTACAAAATAGCTTGGCCTGAGAGAAAGAAGCCAGACACTAAAGAGTACGAGCTATAGATGGTTCATTTTATCAAGTACAAAAACAGTCAGAACTAGTCTTTGGGGCTATAAGTCAGGCTAGTGGTTATCCTTAGTGGCAGCTGGTTTGACTAGCAGTTTCAATTTTATTCAATCTCTACTCTTATAATATGAGCATGTTTTTGTATATATTTCTATTAAAAAGTTAGGGGAAAAAAAGTAATGGCTGGGTGCGGCGGCTCACGCCTGCAATCCTAGCACTTTGGGAGGCTGAGGCAGGTGGATCACCAGAGATCAGGAGTTCAAGACTAGCCTGACTAACATGGTGAAACTGCATTTCTACTAAAAATACAAACAATTAGCCAGGCATGATGGCTTGCACCTGTAATCCCAGCTACTCAGGAGACTGAGGCAAGAGAATCTCTGGAACCCATGGGGCAGAGGTTACAGTGAGCCAAGATTGCGCCATTGCACCACAGCTTGGGCAATAAAAGAGAAACTGCGTCTCAAAAAAAAAAAAAAGCAATAATAGTAACTTGGCCTGCAAAGCTTGTTGTGTATAGCAGCACACGGGTACACAGAGGCAAAATCTGTGTCTTCTAGATGTTCCTAAGCAGAGTGAAAGCTTAAAAGGCCAGAGAGACAGCCCTCTGTATAAATCATGTGGTCTATTCAGTGGGAAAGTTTTTAAGTCCTATTTGAAGTTCCTTTCATCTTCACAGTGCCATTGCAAACGTTGCCAAAATACAGACGCTGGATGCCCTGAATGATGCACTGGAGAAGGTAAGCCATGGGCAAATCACATGACACTCCAAGTCAGTCTTTGCCCAGCAGATCCGGCTGCATGGGTAAATGAGCTGATGACCACGGAGGTTTTTTCCAAGCCAAAGGTTTGATGTCCTTGTGAAAGAATTTGTTCTCGGTCAGAGGAACACGAAGTGATTTGAGTGGGAGAAGCTGTTTCTCTCAAATTCCTAAAGCGTTCATTTAATAAATCATCTCAAAAATAAAAAAGAAAGTGGGAATCGTCATGTTGAATTTGTAGAAAGGTACTTTCCATCCCAAATATTTGTCAGAAACAATGGCATGTTTTTATAAAAGATAGCCTGTGGCGTGGGGCTTCAGCAGTTTTTGACCTTCCTCCCTACCCACACATTCCTTTAAGGAGATACTTTATTTGAGGAGAGGGTAGGTGGTAGAGAGCGTTGTATGGTCTAGGATTAGAGGAAGGCTAGACACCAGGTAGGTATATAAGTCTGTTTATAAACGCAGTTGACCAGGACTATTTTTACTTCTATATCCTGAATTCCCTCTTCTTTCTTTCTTTTTTTTTTAGAAGGAGTTTTGCTGTTTTTCCCCAGGCTAGAGTGCAATGGCACAATCTCGGTTCACTGCAACCTCCACCTCCTGGGTTCAAGCGATTCTCCTACCTCAGCCCCCCAAGTAGCTGAGATTACAGGCATGCACCACCACACCCGGCTAATTTTGTATTTTTAGTAGAGATGGGGTTTCTTCATGTTGATCAGGCTGGTCTCGAACTCCTAACCTTAGGTGATCCACCCATCTTGGCCTCCCAAAGTGCTGGGATTACAGGCCTGAGCTACCGCACCCGGCCATATATCCTGAATTCTTTCTAAGTAGTTCTAGAAACTCAGAAAACTCTTACCAATTAGACAGTGGTTTGGTTTTCTAGATTCAAAAGCTCGTTTTCAAATTTTGTAGGTGAGCTGAGTGAGAGCCCTTATTCTACGTCTAATAGGCAGGTACATTATAGTCAAGGTAATAAAGAGCCACTCTTTCAGCTACTGCCATGTTTATGGAAGGGGCGGGAGAGAGCATCCTCTGTAGAAGGAAGACTTCCTGTTGCAGCCAAAATCAGATGTCTGAGAACCACCAGCTCAGCCTCTGAAAAAGATTAGTGCAGCTAGCCCCTGGGCCCCCATTTGGCACTGGCTTCACCACCATCTGTATGACCTTGAGCAGGTGACTTATCCTATGCTTCAGTTCCATGTGTATAATGGAGGTAAGGAAGAGTACGCAGCTTACAGGGTTGGATATGGAGATGGTGAGCTCACAGGCATGAAGGTCTTGGAAGAGTCTCAGCTCAGAGTAACCTCTTTGCACTCCGTTTGGGTTAGTAGCATTGGTTTTATGACAGTGAAATGAGACAGCATATCTAAAGTCCATGACATTACAGGGCAGATATTGTACAAGATAAGATCTTGATGATGAGCCATAGCTACAGAGCCTTCTCACATGGGAGGCTTTGTTCTCCACTCAGATCGATTTAGGGTGAAGTCATAAGTGACTCTCTGCCTTCCTGGCTTCAGAGGCAGGGCTGATGCATGATACCCTGCCAGGGTAACTCAAGCTGCCTGCTCCTACATCTTAGATTCTCTTGCTCCTGCCCACTAAACACGTCTTCCTTAGGGCAAGAGAATGCCCACAGTTGTAAGTGGAACTGGATAGAATAGACATGTTCCCCTAAAATATTTGTTAACTCAAAATAAAGTATTGAAAAGGAATGGTCAGAAAAGGCTGGTTGTGCTGTATGTTAGGTAAGATACCAGAGTCTACATGGTGTCTTATAGATATATGTCATGCATGTGTCTTTGACATATCGCTTCATTGCCAAGATAAAAAGAATAATCTCTTCCCTAAGTAACAATACTTAACAATAATAATCAGTTGTGTTTGGAACCCATAAGAGAACACTGAAATGGTGTGCTGTTAAAAATATTTTTAACAGGCCAGGCACAGTGGTTCATGCAGAAATATTTTTAACAGACCAGGCACGGTGGCTCACACCTGTAATCCCAGCACTTTGGGAGGCCAAGGTGGGTGGATCACAAGGTCAGGAGTTCAAGACAGCCTGGTCAATATAGTGAAACCCCATCTCTACTAAAAATACCAAAAAAATAGCCAGATGTGGTGCCACATGCCTGTAATCCCAGCTACTTGGGAGGCTGAGGCAGGAGACTCACTTGAATCTGGGGAGACGAAGGTTGTAGTGAGCAGAGATCGCGCCATTGCACTCCAGCCTGGGCAATGAGAGTGAAACTCCTTCTCAAAAAAATACATATATTTTTAACAGCAACTATACCTATTTTTAAAAATATACTTTTGTGCTCAGCTCAGTGTTTAGACGAGTAGGACTGTGGCTAAGATTGCGCAGGTTACTGGTTACCAGAGCAGGTCCTAGCACCAGCCATAGGCTGCCCTGCTCTGGCTGTGTCACTCACTAGCTCTGTGTCCTGGGGCAGGTTTTGTCACTTTTTTGGGTTCCTCTTTCCTTATCTGTAAATGGAAATTTGAGTACTGGTATCTATTTCACAGGGACATGTTGAAGACTAAAATGAAGTTACATAATACATGCACAGTGCTAGGACAGTTAGCCCTCAGCAAGTGATATCTTCTGTTCCCAGGCCTGCATCCCACTATCACTTGGAATCCCAGGTAAAGCGTAAAGCACCAGCAACAAAAATAAGTTCCAAAATTACCATAAGGAACAATCTCAAAAACGAACATTGGCAGGATCCCTGTGTTTCCCTACAGCTAGGAAAAATCCCCCCCGCCGATCCCTCATTCAATCTCAAACCTAGGAGGATTTCACAATAAAAGTCAACCTAGGGTTGAGATCTACTGACCACTAGATCTACTGAGATCAGCAGTTGTCTGGGGCTGAGTAGGAAGGGTTGATTACAAATGACCAGAGGGAATTTGGGGAAATGATGGGATGGTTATTTATCTTGATCGTGGTTGTAGTCACAAACTGTATGTACTTGTCAAGACTCATAAAGCAGCACGCTAAAAAGGATACATTTTACTGTAGGCAAATACTTTGCTTTTTACAACTGAAAAACCATGCTGCATAAGCTATATAGGCTGATTTTAAAAATACAGGAAACAATATATAAAAGATACACGGATACAGGTATTTTTTAACAAATTTTCCCTGTATTACAATGATTCTCTTCACAGTATGTATTACCAAAGAGATCTAACAATATACAGTTGGTCAGAATAAATGTAATAGCAGAATTGAGAGTCATATCTTCTGTATTTATTAACATTTGTTTGTGCCCTCAGTTACAATCACATCCAAGAATTCGTGTTATTTCTCATACTTATTTTAAGAAATTAATTCTCTAAAGCAACCCCTCTCCATAGGATCTCATCAACCATTCAACCATGGCAGGAACATTTTATCTGTATGCTATTCATCTCTGGATTCCTACTTTAAAATCAACATGGGGTTTCAGATTTTGGAGATTGAAAAATAATCCCCAAAGGGCTGGGATTGTTTAAATCTAAGTAAGAAGCAGCCTAGAATCTACCCCCCCACCTCTTCCCTCCACTCAGACTGCTTTCTCCCACCCCACCCTATTTCTCCTTTCCTCCCAAACTCTCCAGCCAGCCTTCCCCACCTCTCGAAGCCCTAAATAATAAGAGAATTCATGTTTCCCATAGCAGAACACATGACATGGTATTCCTGCAGAAAACAGGTTATGTAATCTGAAAGCTCTCTAGGCTAGAAATCTGGAAGACCTGGTCTTAGCCCAAGTTCCACCCACTACCTAAAAGTATTTGACCTGTTAGATGTCACGTAGCTTCTCTGGGATTTGTGCTTGTTCATTTACTTTTAAAAAATTCTTTTAAGGCAGGGAGTGAACGAGAATGATACTGCCAAATATATTAATCCTCTGGACATGGCAGTTAAATTTGGCAATAGTTGTGAAACTTCTCAGAACATTAAAGTATCCAGTTAAAACATCAGTCATGGGGTTGCGTTTTGGTGTGGAGGTGGAATGCAGAAGCCTGGTGAAAGTTGGGGTTACTTTTTTCAAGCTGCCAGACTTTGGGTCACCGCTGCCAAAGTCAGTGAGATGTACATGAAATGGGATCCTGGGGGAGAGAAAACTATCAGAGGCATCTGCAAATTTTAAAAGGCTTCTCTCATTTTGTAGATTAATATCACTGTAGGAGTATCCTTGAATTTCATTGACAAGAGCTGAATGTTTTGTTTTAAGCACTTTGCTTAACGGGGTGTGGAAATTTAAGTGCCAACATTCAAGTTGGAAGTTAACACCCTGGAAAGATGAATGAAAGCGCTACCAGTGTGCTAATACTACCCAACTTCAGGCTCTGAAACAAAACCTGCAGTTGATTTTCTTGCATCTATAATTTCACAGCTCTAGTCATAAAGACTTTTGCACACTTCTTTTGCCTTTTCTCTGAAATGAAAAATATAGGTTCTCAGGTCGCAGCTACCCAAGATGAAGGTAAATTCTCAATGCGGAAGTTTCTATTGATCCACTTTCCAAGTTCAATATGTTGCCCCTGTAATGCAGCTGCAGCAAGGCAGGATCCTTGTACGTATACTGGCTTTGAATTCTTTCTCTCGTAGGGTTACCCTAGATTCTTGTACCCTAATGAATGAGACAAGAAACACCTTTCATTCTACAAACATGATCGTTTTACAAAGACTAATGATGAAAATTCCACAGCTTCCCCAAAGTTAAAATGTCAGACTAAAACACAGCTGGTTGTAGCTTGTACTCTGGAAAGCTACTTCTACTTATTTCTAGTTTAGACTTAAAATAACTTTTCCTATCTCCATTGATATAAAACCTAGAACAGAGAATTAGTACATTTAGGAGCTGACCATTTTATTGACAGTTTCACCAACTCTGATGGAAGATTCTTTATAGTCTCCTCAACCATAGACCCAAGTCCTGCCTCAGGATGCCCCTGACTGAGACAGGCAGGGAGATGAGAAGGAGAACTTGACTTTCCTTTTATCATATTTTCAAGTTGCTATGAAACCCTCTTCCTGGCACCCCAAAACCTGTACTCTTATAGCTTAACAATTATGAGTAGCTTCTCTATTATCTTTGCCAGAATTATTTCTACTTCCTTCTCAATACTGTTGATTTTCTCTTCTCTCAAACTTTCCCTAATCAGTTCACAGATGGCCAGTGGGCCACAGGGGCTGACTTTGTTTCCCAAATATTCTGATCTGTGGCATTTCTCTTCTTAGAAATTGAGCAGTGCTTTTAGAACTTCGGTTGAATACCTTAATTAAAATGTAACCCTTAACACTTCTGTATTGCTAGTGGGAATGTAAAATGGCGCCACTGCCATGGAAAACAATGTGGTGGTTCCTCAGAAAATAAATATAGAATTGCCATATCAGGCTGGGTGCAGTGGCTCACAGCTGGAATCCAAGCACTTTAGGAGGCTGAGGCAGGAGCATCGCTTGAGCCCAGGAGTTCGAGACCAGCCTGGGCAACAAAGAAAGACCTCGTCTCTACTAAAAATAAAACAATTATCCCAGCATGGTGGCACATGCCTGAGGTCCCAGTTACTCGGGAGGCTGAGGCAAGAGGACCACTTGATTCCGGGGGGTTCAAGGTTGTAGCAAGCAGAGATTGCACCACTGCACTCCAGTCTAGGTGACAGAGCAAAAGCTCAACTCAAAAAGAAAAAAGAAAAAGAGAGAGAATTGCCATATGCTCTAGCAATTCTACTTCTCCCAATATAGTCTCGTCATATATTGGAAGAATTAAAAGTAGGGACTCTGAACAGATATTTATACACCAGTATTCATAGCCACATCATTCACAATAGCCAAATGGTGAAAAGATCCTAACCAAGTATTCATCTGTGGATGATGGATAGACAAAACACAGTATATATGTATATACAATGGAATATTATTTAGCCTTATAAAAGAAGGAAATCCTGGCACACACTGTAACATGGACAGACCTTGAGGACATTATGCTAAGTGAAATAAGCCATACACAAAAGGACAAATAGTGCATGATTGGATTTATGGGAGGTGCCCAGAGTAGTCAGATTCATAAAGATAGAAAGTAGAATGATGGTGTCCAGAGGCTTGGAGAAGGGAATGGAGAGTTACTGTTTAATTGGTACCACATTTCAGTTTTGGATGATGAAAAAGTTCTAGAAGTGGATGGTGGTGATAGTTGTGCAATAATGGGAATGTATTCAGTGCCATAGTCTAACTGTACACACACTTTAAATTGGTTAAAATAAAAAATTTTGTTTTGTATATTTTATCACACTTTTTAAAATGCCCAAACAACGTAGCTCATAAGTTGTGGAGATCACCATGGAGGTGACCAAATAACAGATTAGTGTCGAACTAAGCAGCAAGCACCTTCTACCACATATTCTAACACCACTCTCCTTTCCTTTGTCTTTTCCTACCTCCACCCATCTTCTCTTTCACACTTAAGAACAACAATCGACATGTGGCTTTCTTTGTTCCAGTCCCAACTTGTCCTCTTACCCTACCTCACCTTGGCTAATTGCCCAAATTTCTGTTATATCAGTTTTTTTTGTTTTCCTTCTCACCCCCTTTTACCATAACTAACTTGTCAAATTTTTCTTCCTACCTTCAATCTCTCAAATGTGATTTAAAGCCAATCTGAAATAATTTCTCTATTTTTGGTTGAGACTAAAGATACCCAGTCTGGAAGTAGACTACTGAAGTCAGTGACCTCTTAATTTCCTTCCAGAACTAATGTTAAAAGAAAACCAAAGCAAAACAACACATTCTGCCCTTACCACATTGTAAAGTGCACGTCATAAGGGTCTGGTGATAACTGATGTGACCAAAAAAAGTCATAATGTCTTTTCTAGACTCTAATGCAACATTTATGATCAATACCTCATGTTTTCTTCCATTCTGCTAGAATGTTGGCAGAGATATTCCTTGGGCTTAATTATTGTATAACTTGTACTTGCTCATTGTGAAAGAAAACAAATTAAGTACTGATAAATAAAGCAAAGAAAAAGACTAGGCATTGCTCATAATTCTATCCCCAGAGGTAACCATTGCTAACATTTCAGTGTATATTCTTCCAGTGTGTTTAATTTTTTAAAACCAAGAAGAAAGGACTTTTTGGAGTTGTGTTTCATATGAAAGGGACTGCTGTGTGACTAGGGTTTGGGCAGAGACATTTGAGAAGAAATATAAGGCACATATGTTTTTCCTGGCTTAGAAGAGCCCAAGCAAACCATAAACAATGTGATGGCTGGGGTCATGCACAGTTTAGCTCCCCTTTTATTTAATTTGAGTGTCAAGGCAAGGGCATCTAAGTTCAATAGTGATACGTTAAATTCTTGTTGAGCTGAGACATCCCTTCCTTGCTGGCCAAGGGAGGTTTCTTTAGGTTATTTTATATATTGAAGGGCTTGGAGACCAAGAACTAGCATGGACCCAAAAGGTCACTGGGTCCAAATTCTCCTCTGGGAAAACCATGTCTGAAGTGTTCAGCAGCATTGGGCGTGCTTTCTAAGTTATCATTCATGTAAATTCCACAAGATCTCTGAGTTCCATATGAAATGTCTCTTATTGTCATAAAGTCTCAGCCTGTGTTAATAAGTCTATTTAAGCTTATTTACTCACAGATGTCTTCTGTGGAGAAGACTAATGAGAACTTTTGTTCCCTGAGGCTAGTAAGCCATCCCTCAGCCTTCTCTTCACTGGGCTTAGATTAAACCATATGGAATGGCCAATATCACACCATTATTGACCTCAAAAAATAGTAAATGTACATAGTTATACCTAATAAACAACGCTAACACCTCTTAACTTCTTTCAGAGGTTCTTTATTTCTTTTGACAATTGAGGGGATTTTTGCCACCACTCTGGATCTTCTCCAATGTCCCTGTAGCCTTCTTAGAAGTCAGTGATTCATAGATGCATACTAGTGCCAGAATAATTGCTAACATCACAGAGAACTGATGCAGACACAATTAACCATTCCTAGTTTTTAAAATGCCAATTAGAATTTTTAAAAATTAAAGAAAATAAATGAGAGAAAGCCCAAGTTAAAACGTAATCCCTTGGGTTCAGGGATAGAAATAGTATGGAAGAAAAAAAGAGAGAGATTATCAAATAAGCAAACAAAATTGCGAGATTCCCTTGATCAACCATATCATTTTCTACTAGTTTAATATTTCATGACCAAGAAGATCCAATATGCTTATTTTTTCTTCCCTTCTCACCTTTAGCTCAACCATAAATTTACAGCAACAGTGCACACGGCACATCAAAAACCCACACCTGCTCTGGAGAAGGTTGTTCCACTGAAAAGGATCTACATTATTCAGCAGCCTCGAAAATGTTAAGCCTGGATTTAAAACACAGCCGTCTGGCCAGCTGCCTCAAACATCTGACAGCTTAGCAAAAAGAGCCAAAGCTTTCCATAGGCCTGCTGCCCTTGCTTGGTAAATAAAACCACTTTTGTATCTTCCCCTTTGACTTTAGGTAATAAAGCATCCAAACTGTAAATCCAACACGTCCCTGTGACTCTTTTTGGTCCAGTTCAGGATCCCATTGATGTTTGCATGTGTAGTTCTGTAGAGGAAGTGAAGCCTCGAGAATACCTCCATCCACCTCCCTGCATAAGCACTCTTCTTCACACTGACCCTGAATTGGTCCACCCACATTGAGTTCTCCTTGAAGGCAGAGGTTGGGGAGGAGTAGACTGGGCTTGGCAAAGGCCAATATCCAGTGCAAACATAAGAAGTGACTCTTCTCAGTTTCTTTATCTAAGGATGTTGACACTTTCACTTGAGGTGAAATGCCTTTTCCAATTTCCCACATAAGTACATAGCTTGTTTTCAAAGCTCAAATGAAAAAATTAAATTGATTACAAACATATTATTTTATTCCAGGAAATCAAGGGCAGAAGGTAGAATTATAGCTTCAGTGGGAGAGTTGCTCAGGGCCTCCCAGAAAGCTCCAGAACTGAGGAGATTGTGAAATACAGGGCATCGTGGTTGGGCTACAGAAGTTATTTTCACTGGAGGTGGGGTGGGAGAGAGAGTATTGCCATAACTAAGCCTGCACTAGCTCTTCTCCCCTCTACCCGCCCCCCACCACACACACACATGCTTCCATGAATTCATATGTGAAGAGTCAAGGGGATCCTCAGGTGACAGCTGGGAACAGCCACAGCCTTTCTCCACAGAGGTTGGCTGTCACTCACTGCTTCACCATTCTGCACCACCAGTTGAGAATGCTATTAGACCATCACCCTTCTTTTTACCCAGGGAAGGGGGCCAGCGCTTCAGTCCATCATCGAACAGGTTGACAACTCTTGGAGTATGACCTGGTGCCAAGCCTATCTCTGATTCTTGGAAACAAGAGGTACTTGGCTAATGCCAATTGCATGAGGGGATGCATCCACCTCCTCCCCTCCATTATTTTGGCTATTTTTCGGAAATAAGAGAATTGCTAGAGACAATATCAGGCCTTCAGGCAATGCCAGCATGAATCAGTAAGACAGTTATTAACACCTCATTTTGGCTTATCTCAGTTTCAAGTCCTCTGAGACTATTGTCAGATATATCCCAGGAAGATAACTGTTGTGAGGAAAATGGACAGAAGTTCAAGGCCAGCCACCATTTTCCCAGGGGACAGTAACACAGACCAGATGCTGGGTGCAGGTTGGAACAATGGACTAACGTTCAGGAGATGGAGATTCTGCTACTGACCCTTACTAGTTCTGAAACTTTCAGCAAGCCACTCAACCTTTCCAATCCTTGCCAAATGGGCACAATAATACCTGACTCTTCAACTGAACCCCTTTAGTGTTGCACACTGTGAAGAAGATAAAATGATGACTGAGTTTGGTAAAAGCTAATTAAAATAGTGGTGAGAGAAGATGATGCCAGGATGCGTATCCTAGAAGCTGCCAGAACTAGAGTAACAGAATTCTACTAAGCTGAGACTAGAACAGGAAATTCAGAGAAAAGCTGAAGATTTGGGGGTGGATGGAGGCAGGAAGGAAACATGGGAGGGGATGATAAGAGAAACGAGAGGCCGGGCGCGGTGGCTCAAGCCTGTAATCCCAGCACTTTGGGAGGCCGAGGCGGGTGGATCACAAGGTCAAGAGATCAAGACCATCCTGGTCAACATGGTGAAACCCCGTCTCTACTAAAAATACAAAAAATTAGCTGGGCATGGTGGTACGTGTCTGTAGTCCCAGCTACTCAGGAGGCTGAGGCAGGAGAATTGCCTGAACCCAGGAGGCGGAGGTTGCAGTGAGCCAAGATTGCACCATTGCACTCCAGCCTGGGTAACAAGAGTGGAACTCCATCTCAAAAAAGAAAAAAAAGAAATGATAAACACAGATGGTGGCACTGCTAGATTTGCCTTTCTTTAGGGTGATATAAGGGCCAGCCACCCAAAGGAAGTGAGAAGGGAGGAAGGGCACCATTCTCTCTGGAGATGAAGGATGACTGTCGGGGAAGGGAGGCTGCTCAAAAGAAGCCGAGGCAGTCAGGACCTAAGCATTAACTTAGGTCCACCGTTACAGTCACTTAAATCACCAAGTCACAGGAAGTCAGAAGTTCAGTATGAGCTTCAGATCTGACAGGAAATTGGAATTCTCTTGGATAATGCAGCAGCAGCAGAAGGCCGAGGAGAGAATTCTGTGGTGATATGGAGGCATGTGCAGGAGGACACAGCAGCTGTTCCCTGTCCCTTCTAAGGAAGAGAGCCCAGCGTGGATGTGTTGTGGCTCCACTCAGGAGCCCACGATCATGGGTTATGGGCCCAACAATGGCCATGACAAGGAGGAGGAGGTGCTGTGGGCTGGGAATTCACTGTCAGATAACTGTCTTCAGCTCAGTTCAGTTCAGTTCACCAGATTCTATGCTAGGCACTGGGACATGAAGATGAATAAGACACACCTGCTGTCCACCAGGATAGTTCAGACCAAAGGGAAATGGACGTCCAACAAATCAATAACAAGAGAAAGTATAGATGCGGCTTGTTGGGAGAGTGGGGGCATGCTGTGGATGAGGCTCAAGAACTCCCCTGAAGGTCACCTGCAGGCCAAAAAAACACCATGGTGGCCATGGAGACCAATAACTCATGTGCAGGTCTTTAATAAACAGACTTAAGCTGATTATGAAATCTGCAAACATACACACAGGTTGTGACGATTATATCGAACTCTCATGTAGCCATCACAGGGCCTCAACAACGTGGACCATCTTGGTTTGGCTCTAGCATCCGGCCTCCTACTTCTTTTCTCTTTTCCCTGGCTCCTGGTTTATTTTAGAGTGAAGCGTAAACATCATATCATTTCATCTAGAGATACTTCATTGTGTTACCTCTGAAAGATAAGCCCTCATGTGTGCGCTCCGTCTCTATCTTTATCTCTTTCTCTCTCTGTAAACTGAATTTTCATCAAGATTGAGGAGAATCTTTCCCCACAGAAGGGAGACTGGCATTGCTGGCTATGCTAGGCACAGGAGCCAAAACAAACAAACCTAAGACCCCCCCACTGGGCCAGGAACGCTCCCAGGGAAAGCTGGGAGAGCAGCTGGAGCTGGAGCTCAGAAAGGAGATGATGAAGATGGCCTTCAGGTTGAAGGAGAGAGCCAGGAAACATGAAGTTGCTGAGGGCAAACAAGAAGTACAGGAAGAAGATGACAGGCAAAACTAGGTCTTGCCAAAAAAAAGATGTAGAGAACACTTAAAAATAGCTGTTTCTGAGGCCACTCAAAAAACCACAGAGTAAGAGAGGAACAAAGGATGATAAATTATTGGCAGGAAAAACTAAAGATCCATTTATCCAACAAACACTTGCTAGGTTTCTCCTGTGTGATAGGCTTCATTTAGATAGAACCCAAGTCCAAGGAATGTCTGCCTGGCATTTGACATATGTCATGTTTTATCTAGTTTATTTTATTTTATTCATGCATTCATTCGTTTTGAGACAGGGTCTTACTCAGTTGTGCAGGCTGGTATGCGATCACAGCCCACTGTAGCCTCAATCTCCCTGGTTCAAATGATCCTCCCAAGCTGCTGGGACCACAAGTGTATGTCACCACACCCATGCCTGGCTAATTTTTTATTTTCTGTAGAGACAGCCTTTCTCTGTATTGCCCAGGCTGGTCTCAAACTCCTGGGTTCAAGCGATTCTCCCACCTTGGCCTCCAAAAGTGCTGGCTTACAAGCATGAGTCACTGCACCTGACCTGGCCTGTGTTTTGTTTTAAAGGATGTCTAGATGTCAGCTCATGTCACCACCCCCTTCAGAATGACAAGATTGGCTCCAATTCCCATATTATCCGCAGTGGATATTCAAAGCCCTCTCCAAGAGGTCTATAAATTTCCAGGAGGGTTACACTGCTATGGTCACCTCTGATTTTCAGTGAATTCATTCATTGCTCGCTGTCCCTGTGCCCCCATCACCCTGGTCTGGACTCGACTCATTTCCATGATTTCCCTAAAACCTTCTTCAATGGATGGCAAAATATACTAAAGACTTGGTAGAGCATTTACATCACAGTAACCAGACGACCTTCAGTAGAATGTCTGCTACCCTCATTCTATTTGTGTGTCCTTCCACCAACTTCCCACTGCCACCAGCATCCCACCCCAGGACTTGGTTCACTGTTCATATCACCTAGTGTAGCCTCCGTCTTGCTGGAAGTGTTCCCCTCTCCCACTCTCCCTTGCCTCACTTTTCTTCCCTTACCCTGATCAGTTTCAGTCAGCAATTTGGCTACCTCTCTGGGTGTTGGACTCCTGGAAAACCATGTCACCTTAGCCCAAAATAGTCTCCTCAGCCCCAAACAGCTCTGGCACTGATTGTCAAGATATCAACATTTTCATCCAAATACGGTAGAACAGTTGAACAATGAATTAATTAATTAGAGAAAACAAAGTGATAGAGAACCTGAGACAAGAGAAACGAGAAGCCAAAGGAAAAGGAAGAGAAGTTTCAAATCAAATGTTGAAGGCCTGAAAGAAATACACACAAAACATTAGGGCAAGCAGAGCTTCTGCTAAAAATTAATGTAAGACAGAATTTTAAACATGGTTTTTCATATAGTATTTCATGAAATTGTCACAAGAATTCTGAAAGATGACAGCTATTAGTATTCTATTATACAGATGGGAAAAATGAGCCTCTGGGAAATTAAGGGATTCCCTAATGTCTTATAGCTTGTTAAGTAGAGAAATTTATCTGGGACTCTCTTAATCCCAAATCTACAGCCATCTCTGCTACCCCGTAAGAAAACAGGTTGAGGTTGAAGCTTAGAAGTCTCCAAACAGGCCAGGTATGGTAGCTTACACCTGTAATCCCAGTACTTTGTGAGGCTGAGGTGGGCGGATCACGAGGGCAGGAGACCGAGGCCATCCTGACTAACATGGTGAAACCCCTTCTCTACTAAAAAAAATACAAAAAAATTATCCAGGCATGGTGGCACACATCTGCAGTCCCAGTACTCGGGAGGCTGAGGCAGGAAAATCGCCTGAACCCAGGAG